TCCAAACCCCACATATCCAAAAAAATGGTCATTAAGACTATTTCTCTGTGTGACACTATTGATGTCAATTCAAATCTTCGAGAATCTAATCGATATAATTCAAACAAAAAAAAGAAATAAAGACTTATCTTTTTAAATTATGCACCCAAAAGTGTAATCTACCACTTGACAACTTACTTAAAATGATAACTAAACAAATATTTAATTAATCACAACTTTTATGCACATACCTGAGATTCAAGTGCATCAGTACATATAGTTCAATAATGTACATTTGCACATGAATACATTTATACACTTTCTTAGTAAAGTATTTTCTTTCTACATATGAAAGGAACACCTTATTAGACATGAATCACTAAAACTATGTTAAGATACAGTTGTGTTTTTTTTTGTTTTACATAAATGATTAGCCTTTGAGTACATTTATAATGAATATGAATATAATGGCATATTATTTGACAAAATATTATACCTTTACATTTTAGTATGACACTAGATATTCAATTAGTATTCAATGTATTAGTATTGTTATTATAAACAATGAAAATGACATTAGTGTATAATGAAATATATTTCTCAATTTTCTAAACATATTTTATTAGTTCATTATGTTGCATTAAGATTGAATTTAAAAATTTATCTAAAAGTCAAAATAATGTCAAAAAACCAAAGATTCTTGCCTTCATTTTACTCGACAATAAAAAGTAGGTAGGTGGGGGACTATACATAATAATAATAATAATAATAATAAATTAGACTGATAAATGTAAAAGTAAGTTTCATTTTCCATTAATTATCTCCAAACAAAAATGTTCTGTGGCCAAACGATGGCAACATTAATTGAAAGCATGCAATTGATTTCTAGTTGACATTAAATGTAAAGGAAGACACGATTTATTTAGATAAATGAATAACTAATTATTATTCACTAATTTTGTACATAATGTTTGCATATTGTTTTTTTCTCTCTGACATTAGACAGATAGACAGAGTAAATAAACAAGATGTAAACAGATAGCTATTTAAATATTCTGTAGGTCAGGATTAGAAGGAATATACACAATCACCGTGTTGGTAATAATAATTCTTACAATAGTAAGTACCACAGTGCGCGCGCGCACACACAAACACTCACGTTATTTAACTTTTCAGAATTTTTTGACATCGTGTTTATCTTAAATTGTAGTATATTTAAAGAATAGAAAATAATTGACCACTGTCAATATGTCACATCAGGATAAATAAAAGCTAGAATGAGAAGCCACATTAGTTTATCGCTTCTGTTCACTGCTTATAATTCGAATAAGGAAGATTATGAAGAAAATAAGCATTTGTGTCATGAGATTGTTTGAGCTATCCTATTAGTTATAACTAGTTGATCAACTGTGTACTTAAAAAAAACACATCTAGATGAGATTGGTTCTGGGCGTAAATAAATTGCCTTTAAACTTAGTTAATCCACTTCTTTATGTGTTTTAACATTTCGTATTAGATCTGTCTTCTGTTACTCCAACTTTTTTATTGTTTAGTCATAATGTAAAAAAACAATATAACCACTTTATTGGTTAGTCAAGCGTTTTAACATCAGTAAACGGTCTTATCTAATTATTGAAATTAAATTGATAAAAGATAATCTTCTGACAGGGACAACTTCATTTGATTATCTTAAAACACTTACATCCTGACAAACGTAGACCACTCCTGTTATCAATATAAATATCAGAGTGACAATGTCGTGCAGTTTCTCTTCCATCCGCAATAGAGCTATTTAACATACTACTTTCATAAAAATATGAAAATTGTAACTAGCGAATGAACTTTAATTATTAATACACCATTCTTTGCGGGAATGTTATGTAGAATAAGGGTTATAAAAGCCGTTAGGTATTGTATTTCCGCCAATCAAGTGTTAAAATTTACTAGTTCTTTTACTACAATTGTTATCAAATACTATGTGGTGCCCTTATTAACAGTGACATCACATCGAACTCTCCTCACTAACACTATCATGTGAACTCACAATCAAATAACTTACTTGCTCTCAATAAAAATTCGAATGCATAAGTTCATTTTTCCTACACTATAGTTAATACTCAAAATCTAGGCGCACTGATTGACTCTCAAACTCTGTGATTGTTATACACACTTGGCGGCGACGAGAATTCTGACACTGTTGAGTGATTAAATTTATTTGAAGTTCATTGAAATCGTGAGCCGATCCAGAGTATACTACCATTGAAAGACTGGAAACACTAAACGGCCATCCCGGCCTAGTATGGGATTCCTCAGAAGTGCGCACTCTGGTACCCCTCGGGATTCGAACCTAAAGCTCCTGCACATACATAACTGCCTAACCTCTAGACTACTGAGCCAACGTCCTACGGATTAATGTCTAACTTTAATCAATCAACGACAATAAAGTTCACGAATCAATGATGAAGTTTGCTAATCATTAACTTATAACCAAAACATAATATATTCTTAATACGACGAATTTGAGTGAACTGTCTACTGCCCAACCTGTTTGTGTGAATATCTAGAAGAAAGTTACATTATTATCCGTTGTTTAATACAGGTGGATCTTATATAATACAGGTATATCATTCATTCCACCTGGAGCTCCTCTAGGATAAACATTCATCCAAATCTCGGATAAAGGATGACTGAGCCTAGGGTTACCAGTCCTACCTCGTAATAAAGAACCTCACCACGAAACGCTAACCAGAAAAAGTAATTTAAACCTTTTGAAATTTCCTTTGAGAATTGAAGGGTTTCCATATAAAATAGTTACCACGCCCCAAAGTGAAAGTTTAGGTTATTCGAAAGCCAAGAGACCAACACCCTTTCTAACAACCAGAGCAAATTAATATAGGTAAATGAAATGTCCGGATAATATGAGAGAAAATGATGGTTATCTAAATAGCATCAAAATTGAGAGGATACGGCCTATTCACGTTTGGAATAAGTGGAACCCATTGAGCACAATCTGCGGGGAAAAATGGCTGCACTAGGATAGATATTATACACTGGCTACAAAGAAAATGTCCCTTCCCACACACACACACACGACAATTTACACTGATACTGTCTATTGAAGCATAAAAATCGCTTATAGGACGGGCATGTCATAAAGTTTTTATTCTAATTTGTTTATAACCTGAACTAAAACACTTTCAATCATTCATTAAACCCAGATAAATCTAGGTCCTAATCAAGTAATAAATGTACAGAATCGACCATTTTTTCTTATTTAATCTTAGATGTTATATAAAGCACTAACATGATGTGTATATGTACACCCTGTTTATAAGTCGAATGTAAATTGATTTCACTAGACTTTCTAGTTTTTTTTACATCTTAATGTAAATAAATAAATATGGAATACATTAAAAACGACTAAGATTTGGTCATTTAAACAAAAATTAATTTTAAAGATTAAATCCTTATAGCCTTATAATAAATTTATCATAAGTAATACAAACTACAAATTGACTTTTGTTCTTAAACATTCGTTCAGTGTTCATTTATGTGTGATAAAACATGAATGAGGACCTTGTCCGGTGATCAAACTTAGGTTCATTTAATAGAATCCATGATAGCTTTGATGGTTTAGTGTTCAGGATTTGCTGATCCGGAAGTTAAATGATATAATACAGAATGACAGATATCAAGCCACTAATTAAAGAAATAGTTATGAATGTGTAATGTTTAATTATCACTTCAAACTGATGTGAGATACAACTATTTATTATATCTTGCACTGAAGTGAATATTTCCACAAATATTAAAACAAGTGCTTTTCACTCTTTTTGTTACAGCATTCATTAAGTAGTATATAAATTTTATCACTGGAGAAATTTTCTTTGCCCTCTAAGATACATTCGTGCTATGTAAAAGGAAATGTACAATAAGCTAGAGCTAAACCATTTTAGAACTATTTGCTAACTCTAGGTTTACTAGTTTTACTTATCTTTACAATCTGTCAAAGTTATCACAAAAAACTCGAGGAAACTTAAGTGTTGGCAAGAGAAGTTTTTTAAACTTGCCTTAGGTATATTCTCTTCAATAAATCAGATCGTATTAGTGGACGTAATGTTTGCATTATACAATATATTTATACAAAAACATATATAGATAAGAAATGTTTGATATTACAGTAAGTTTAATAGTTGAGATCATGAGTCAATTGAAGATAGATCACCATGGAAAAACTGAAAGCACTGGACGGCTGTCCTGTCCCATTGTGGGACTCCTGAGTAGTGCACATCCACGATCACGCCGCGCGAGACTCTAATCCAGGACCTATCGGTTTCTCACGCGAACGCTTAACATCTAGACCACTGAGCCGGCTTCCGACGGTGTTAGTGTCTAACTTCAACTAATCCATGAAATTGAGCGATACATCCACCATTGTCTTCAGTGAATTATTATCTCACAACAGACCAGGTTGAACTTCACTGTTCACTGCTCCTCACTAGAACTCCAGGAAATACCTCTTGAAGCCAATTTGTTTAGTGTTTTACAATTTACCTGATACAAATATTTATCAGGTTTGTTTGAAAAATAAGCTTACTTTAAACTACCTATCGTACCGTGTATATATGAGAAATATAAATTGTATGCAGATAAGAAAAAAGGTTATTTAATAACCACAAAATGTAGATGTCAAATGTCATAATAACGTTTATTATCTTTATGTTTGATTAGGTTTAAAGGTCTTTCGCATTATTCAGTAAGTTCATCATGAAAACAGTGGGACAAATAAGATAAACTGGCATCCTCACATAATTATCTAATGAGTTTGTTATTTTAGAGTTCACTGACTAAAACGTTATTCGTTCACATCATTCATTTAATGGAAAACGATTGAATTAGTAGTTTGAAATAAAAATAAAACGTTCTTCAAACTAAAACCGTAATAATTTCTAACATCATGATCTACTCAGTAAACTCAATGGTAATATTTATAATAATAGTAATAGTTATTTTAAGCTTACATGCTTCTTTAATTTCTGTCGTGTTGCTGATAACTTTTTTTGGTCTTTGTAATTTAACTACTTTGTTCCACGCTTCACAATGACAAACATATGTGTCGAACCATTCCTCCACATCTTTAGCTCTGACTTCCAAGCGTAATTTCCAACGTTTACCATCTGGATCTGGTAAATTATCTGAGTTCAACCTTTGAATCTCCAATATTCCGGACTCACCGGGACCTTTGTATGGTATTGTTTGTTCAGCACATTTGATAGCGGCATGTGAAACTGGTTCAGCGACACATTCAATTGTAGCTGGTTTATTTTTCGTTGTATAATATAGTGGTTTAGGATGCTGAATAAAGATTGGAACACCCTCTAAATGTGTTTCATCTGGTTGTACTAAATCCTCTTGTGAATCAGCTGGAATAGGATAAGAAAGTGTCAAGAAAAGTTTAGCTATAGTCAATAGAAATCTTTGTAACATTATTTTGTGAAATATTTAAAATTGACTTTGTAATTCTAGTGTATTAAGTTTTCGAATTAAATAACTTGATAATAAGCATTCTGAATAGGATTAGATGAATACAAAAAGTGAACTTTTATGGAAATGATTTTTATATGCATCTTATGCACTGGAAATTCAGCAGATTTAGCTTGATATGAAACCGACCAATTGTGGAGTGATTTATTTATTCTGTATTAACCAATCAGAACGAGAATTTACAGTTAGTTAAACCAATCATCTCATTGAATACAGTTAATATGGAACCAAAATGTAATACTTGAAATCACTCGCTTAGGTTCAGACAAGCCCTTCAAACTATGTTGGATTAATTGGTGTTTTTGTATATTTAATAACCACAAAAATTATTGGTACCATTCGCTAAAAAATATTTGATTGGTTTATTCCGCATAATTTGGGGTAGGAAGAACTTGATTTTATATTATGAGTTGAAATTTAAAGTCAGATAGTTCATTGAATGATGTTTATGATTGAGAAACTACAGAAACCAAAGCCATAAAACACAAGTTAAATAGATAATACAAGAAGACGTCTGGGACGCAAATTTGTATTTCTCTTGTAATACCAATAGAATTAGAAGCTTATTATTCATGTATTCTCTGTAAACATTTTAATATCTTACTAAAATTTTTCTACCAGCTTCATTATTTGAGAATACACTAGGAAATAAGTAAACAATTTTCCAGGTATTCTTCTTGGCACCTTGTTTAGTTTTGAACTATTAGCAATAAAAGATCAAGGGTGTAACAACAACTAATTTTATAAAGAAAGAAGGAACGAATTGAGCGAAGAAATTTCTTTTCAATTAGTTTTTCATCATGGCTCTACACTAATATATATACGTTTTACAATAATAATATAATACTCATCGAGTGGATACGTTACGTAATAATTACATAATGACATTTAAATTAACATTGATTAATTGGAAGAAAGAGGATTATTAATATTCAAAGTGATCAAGAAGTTGCTAAGTTGCGTAATGTAAGAAACAAAGAAGGAACAGAATTTTAACGGATGGTCAATAGGATGGTAGTTACGTAAGAATCAAGAGATGAATGTTGAGAAGTTATTAAGTCCAAAAGCAACAGAAATAAAATTACAAAAGTTTTAAAAAAAAGTTTAAAAAATTTAAAAAAATGGAAGAAGTATGAAAAATAGTTCTTTTGAAGGAAATCTTACACTGATGGCCAGGGCAGGGAAATTGGTTGTACGAATCTCTTTTGAATGCGCCTCTTGCACATTGCAGAAGCCATCGCAATCCATGTTCACAAACCTGACCTTTGCATCCGTTAAAATTCTGTTCCTTCTTTGTTTCTTACATTACGCAACTTAGCAACTTCTTGATCACTTTGAATATTAATAATCCTCTTTCTTCCAATTAATCAATGTTAATTTAAATGTCATTATGTAATTATTACGTAACGTATCCACTCGATGAGTATTATATTATTATTGTAAAACGTATATATATTAGTGTAGAGCCATGATGAAAAACTAATTGAAAAGAAATTTCTTCGCTCAATTCGTTCTTTCTTTATTTACCAAATGGCAAAATGGGAATTTTAACTAATTTTATAACAACCCATATTTATTATTCCTTGTTTATGCTACGAAGTTCAAGTGGAAATTCTTAGTTTATGTTGAGGCTCATTTAACGAACAGCTAGACAGATTCATGTCAAAGTTATTTAAATCATAAATAAAACGTCTAAATTAAGATAATAAGATACTACATATTGATTACCAACAAGCTACGATTGTGTACGGCAACAACGGTGGGAAATATATCTCAATCTGAATACTATCATAACGTAGGAAAAAATATATAAATACCTTCAAATATAGTCATTATTGTTAATAGTTGGGAGAATTTAATCTATATAATGTAATTTAATCATACTTTTCTACTAACCATAAAAACGAAATTGGGTAACTTTGTTTTATTTATTGACGAAAACGACGCTTACTTACTGAAGTATTTTGCAGACACAGATATAATGTTAGTAAGGAAATTGTGTTACTTAATGAAATCGAAGGCATTTATTCTATTTGTCATCTAAGTTCAAATTGAATATGCATTTGTGATCATAAATACTGGGGTATTACAATAATAGCCTTACATATTAGGATAGAAACAAATGTCGTCTAAAAAAATAATAGTTCAAAATCCTTCGCAATTATTGTCATGTAAGTTTAGTTTTCAGGGTCATTGTGCACAGGAGTGATTAGTAATATGCATAAAACAACTTTTTAGATATTCATCTCTTCTGTATAAAATAACTTCACATGAGTTAAAATATCTTACTGGGCATGTTACAGATGAGTTTTCTAGCCAATATAACTAAATTAAGTAAACAAATAATTAAACCTTATGATGATAAATGTCTTTTGGCGATCTGAACTGTAAAAAATCACTCTCGATTCACAAAAATTATATTTAATTAAATTATAACTTACTATATTTCATCCTATTTTTGATACTAAAATATAGCTTTAAGGGAACACTGACCTGTGTTGTTGTTTTTTTATGATACATGAATTAAACATTTTATGAGAAAGTTGATAATAAACAGGATTATTTTGTTGGTTGACAAGACTAACTTAAGTAAACAGAATCAGAGTATATGAGTTTGTGAAATATTGCCATTTTTACTGTTTTATTAACTGTATCCATTTTATATTCATAACAAGTACCCATTGAAAGTTATGTGTAAATCTACTCATATTTCAATGAAAAAAATTAGTTGCTTAAGTTTTATAACGACACTGGATTATGCTTTAATGAAATCATGTTTAATGTTCGTTTTTAAACGGAATCCATGTATCGTGTACGTAAAATTCTCAAACATTTTTCGATTGGTTAATATGATTTTCGATCATTTATAAACACTAAATAATTTTATTTGGTTGTAGTAATGGTACTGAATATCAATAAGTAATATAGTTGTGTTTGAGATTTTTGTTCACTAGGACAATTGTTTCAATAGTAGCACATGGTAATCCAATGGGATCACCACGTTTAAAAATGGTGCAAGAATAGGTTATTCAAGTTTCGAAATATTCTCATTTGTATCACGACTAGTAAAATGGAAAATAAATTATCATCCAGAAAACAAATTAACAGTTCTAGTTCCAAAATATAGATGAGTTAATGTTAATAAAATGAAGTATCCACTTCAAATGAAAGTAAATGTAATGGATAGTAGTGGAAATTTAGTCACACAGTATATTTTAGATATCTTCCTAAACAAGTTCTGTATTTTGAATGTAAATATTTTGAACATTTTTCTTAACATAATTCAATTATTTCTGACCTGTCATAGATTATTATAAGCGAATTTCAGTCACTTAATAAATAATTGTGACATTTGTATGACATTTTTAGTGGCCATAAACGAAAACAATCCATTTCATTGAAATAAATGGCAGGTTTTCTTTGTTCATCATTTTATAGATAGAACAGAAAGTCTTCACACTATACACAGAGTCCTTTACTCATTTCAACTTTTATAAATTTCTATTGTAATGCACTTGTGACAATCATGGGTACATATATACGAAATAATTCATTTTTTAAGCCATTTTGTTTGCTATACTAAACTACAGTGCATTCTTAGTGTTATAGGAAAAGATTTACATTTTGTTATTCCCTTTTTAACCTAAGTTTTTTTGTTATTTTACAAAAAGGATTACATTTGTATCTTGCTTTATTTTCCTAAAAATAAACAGTTCATTAACATAATATTTTATAAACAAAACTTAATTTAAGTGCACAGTCTAGCATATGTCCAACATGTTTTTCAACAAAATTACCTGTCAACCAAATGTACCACATAGTAGAAAAACAAAACAAAAATTTGTATATTGATAGACAAATTAGGAGAGATGGCCATTTTAGTTATTTATATCAGACATCCCTACAAGCACATTTATAATAACCTATATATATAATTTACAAACTTCATTTCATAGATGACTGTGTATGATTTCATTGTTGTTTAAAATTACTTGATATTGACCGTGAAGAAATTCGTATGATAACCAGTTACTTTTCTTCATTCACTAGGTAAAATCCAAAAACAGCGAGTTTGATTTTAAAATCGAGTCGAAAATGCTCGAAAACATAGTTATCAGTAGTTTTTTATCAGAAGGGGTTATGCGGAGATTGTAGTAATCCAGGAACCCGCCTCGCGGGATGCGCACTTCTGAGGAGTCCCACTATAGGATGAAACGGCCGTCCAGTGCTTCCAGGTTTTCTGTGTTGGTCTAGCTTCAGTTGACTCATGATCTCAACTGTTGAAAGTTTTTTTTATCCCAGCATCCAAAAAGCATTGAGATAATTCACTGTTATACTTTCGTTATTTATTTTTGTTGAAGAAAGCAGATTTAAATGTTAAAGACAGAAAACTTCCTAAACCGAATAAAACAATCTATAAGTGGAAACCACTGAAGATATTTAACATGACAAATCATGACACTGTAGTTTTTTTATTTAAGTCAAAGTTAGATGAAAAGTTGAAAAAACATAATTTAAAACTTGGTGCAAAACAGTGATCTTTTGACACCCTATTCATACTCGGTGTTAGTTATATTTGAATAACAAGGGAAATTTGAAACAGTTACATATAAAGCTCATATCAAAAAATTTTCTGTAGTACATTTACAAGTTTGCATTGTTTACGTTAAAGCTGTGGGTCGAAATTGTAGCAATAATCTCATAACTCAAAGAAATTTTGATAGATAATTTTTTTTGTTTTCTATTAACCTGTATTTTACAGCCTCACCCAAACTCTAGATAATTACCTATTGTGTTTCTAACAGCCTCAGTTACTTACTATTTTTTAATGATGAGGGTTCATACTTTTTATCAAGATTAAAATGTAATTTTCCAGTGGTAAATCTGCCATATCCTAGGCACCTTTTGACGAAATTTACATTAAAGACCTCAAACAAAATGTATCAGTTTTCTTGTGACGTAATACCGTCTAAAATTTATGGATACGCTTTCGAACTGTAGGATAATGTTGATATGCAGCAGTGTTTTACACTACTTACTGA